CAATCCGGGACTTCCAGCGGCGGAGCTTGGAGAAGCAGCGGCCACAGGCCGGGGCAGCGGGCGGGCGGCAGCATCGGGGGCGGTGGGGGGATTTGCATCGCGGGAGCAGCCAAGCGCCCGGGTCTGCAGCAAAGGCGCTTGGCGGCTCCCGTGATGCAAAGTGCCCAGCCACCCCCGATGCTGCCGCCCGACCGCTGCCCTGCTGAGCTGCTTCGCAAAAGGATGCCCAGCTGAGCCTCACCAGGTATAAACCTCACCGCACATCACTGCTGTGGAATGACCTACCCGTAGATATCTGGACCCTTCCCACTCTCTCGGCCTCACTAAAACCTGGCTATTCTGGCAGGCCTGGGGCTGTTAACATCATGAATGAGGTCCAGCCCCACCTAGATTGAGTGTATGGTGCATTGTTTTTTAAATTGTTTCTTTTTATTTTTAACTCCTTATTTTAATTTCTTTCTGTAAGCTGCCCGGAGTCCTACGGGATTGGTCGGCATATAAATTTATTAAAAGTTAAGTTAAAGAGTCTCTTAGAGATGGGCCAGCTAGCAAATTATACAGGGTTAGCCTAGGAAGAACCAGAAGATGGGTAGGCTGTCTGGCTTTAATGTAACTTGATTAATGCTTTCTCTTCCTTCTTCTTTCTCTCCCCACCCCTTACAGACTGGCCCTTCAGCATGGCGATGGGCATGTGGTGGATTACCTGTCTCAGCCCGTCATTGACTACATCCTTAAGAGTCAGCTCTACCTGAATGCCTCCGGTTAAAGCTTTTGCTGGCATCGTGGCAAAGCTGCCATGTGGCGCCACCTTCCTATGATTGTTCATCACGGTTCTCTTTCTCACTCTTGTTTCTTTTCTTTTTTTTTCAATGCCTCTTGCGTGCATCTGCCTATTCCACTCCGGTTCCCCCCCCCCCCCGCAGCCCCGGGAATTGCTGCCTACAGCTAACAGCCAAGTACATATGCCATCAAGCCACCCTTCTCCCCCTTGAAGTTAGGAAGGGAAAAGAGTAAAGAATATCAGGCACTATTGCTTATAGGGAGAAGATTTGGATTGCCCTTCCCAGCATGCAACAGAGGAAGCAGCATTACCTGACTTTCCAGCATGGTTTGGAAGCAGGATTGGTGGCTCTTCTGTTTCCCTTCCTCTCTCCCTCTGTTGGCTAAATAAATCTCGGTCGGGCTCTTTATTTTTACTGTTTCTCGTTGGCTTTCTCAACACCTTCCCATCCCCCTCACTCCCAAATTGGCTTTTTTAAAATAATTACCACCCTTTACCATGACAATGAGATTATTAAAATCTAAAAACGCCCACCAGATATTTTAGGTCGTTGATAGAAGAATTTCGAAACGAACACACACAAAACGAGAGAAAGCAGAAAAATAGAACCTTAATGCTTTTCTGCAACGGGAAGCTTTTTTTTTTTTAAAGGTTATTGGAGAAAAGGGGTAAAAAACCTCAGAAAGCAAGTTTGCTTCATCTTTAGCATTTCTCCCTCCCCTCTCTCCCTCCCCCCCCATTGTAAATAGATATCTGTTCCGGAAAGAGAGGATGACATGTTTTTTATTTTGGTCGCTGTTGTATACTCTCGCGTCTTTTTTAAAAGGAGCATTTCTTAAAAGTGGAGAAAGAGCCACAGAACCCAGGTTCTCTTGAATGATAGTTAGCGATGTGGCCCTCAGTTGTCTGTTCCTGGATTTTCATGTCCTTCAGAAACCCATTTGGAGTTTAACTACTTGTCATGGTGTACCGTGGCTGGTTTTGTTAATTGTAGGCTCTCTCCATTCATCATTTTCTTCTGTCAAGGAAGTTCATGTATATTTCTTGTGGGCAGCAATTGTACATGGCCCTACACTCTGGCCTCTTGTTTTCCATGGATCTTCTTTCCCTTGACGGAAAGAAACTTCTGCTCGAGTTTATGCTGTAAAATAGACACTTTACCCTCCCTACGAAAAGCAAATCCTCTCCGAAACACAACAACAGTGACCGAAAAGCTGCCCTATAGCTGGAGTAGGTTAAATGGTCCGCCAATACTGCTGTTTAGTAGCGTGCGCATGTTATGGACACTTGAGAGGGACTAGGATCATTAAAGAACATCAGTGTGGCAAAAGGCAGCCGTGACCCGTCAAACGCGCGCCCGACAAAACCGCGGCGAGAAAACAGCAAGGATGAAATCGCGCCCACAGAAGCGCGGAGATAAATGGGCGCCGACAAAAGCGCGATTAGGGTTAAGGGTTAGGGTTAGGGTTAGGATTATTACGTTGTTTTCGCATTGTTTGTTGATGGCGCACTTTCGTCGGCGCGCATTTATCAGCGCGCTTCTGTGGGTGCGATTTCATCCTCGCTGTTTTGTCGCCGCGGTTTTGTTGCCGCGGTTTTGTCGAGCGGGCATTTGCCGGTGAACCAAGGCAGCTTCACAATGAGTAAAACAGCTGGGGGGGTTTCTACGCTACTGGCGGTGTATCACACAGAGCAGGAGGATCCAGTTCAGCGATGGGGAGGAACCTTAGTGACGATCCTTTTTATGAAATAATAATAATAATAATAACCTGTTTATTTTGTGCTGTGTATTTATTCATTTGAAACGAGTTTGCCTGTTTCAGACTGCAAAGTTAGAAGTATTTAATTAGGAAGGACGGAACTGGTTTAAAAAAAAAAAGAAACCAGAAAGATGGGGGA